GGTACCGTCCGTTGAAACGCTTGGTGTGCAAGCTCACATACTGAGTTACAATTGACTCAACGATAGATATTATTTTCACATTCGAAAGACCTATAGTCGTTGGATCATTCTTTTATCGCGACGAGGCCGATTATATCCGAACAAACATAGATACACACGATTGTCCTACTACTGTGAAACAGTCAATAGAAATAGTAAATATACTTTTACACGATGAACATTTCGCAAAACTATATCGTTTTTGAATTAACTGAACAGCGATAAAGCAACTTCATACCTTGTATTCGATTCCTTCATCGTATAGTTGCTGAGGCATAGATATGACACCGCCTGGGAAGTATGGATTGTATGCCTTACCATCATCTACCTGCAACAAGCGATACATCATGTCACAGAGGGCATACAAGCACATCATAAATGTAAACAACAAGCGAATAAGATTTATAGGTAATTAACCAAATAGCCAAAAGATAGTTGAAAGCAAATACCTTGACTCCAGCTGGAGGTTCGAAATATCCTGTTAGTAGCGCAAAGATGTAGTCATCACCACCATGTCTAGCTAAGGCCATCAGTGACAGATCCGGAGGTGCGGCACCTGAATTTGTGAATTAATCAGAAAAAAAATGGAATTGAGCATTAGCAAAACAGTGGGCGAAACAATGGCTCGGACCATACTTCGAAACCAACGCGCACGATTGGTCGTCACAAAAGAATATGAACGGTTCTCCGTACAAAAGTTTTTCATGCAAAATTTGCAGTTTTTTGTATGCGAAGTATGTGAGCAAAGCACTTTCAGAAGTTGAAAAAAATATGTTCGAAAAAGTCGCTTATTTTCCCTGCGAGACTTCGAGCCGTTGATCACAAAAGGGTCAAGGGCTTGAAGCTCATCGCGTTGGTCTGGATAAAGCAATGATTATTATGCCAATTGATTGCTAACTCACCATTATTAGCTGCTGCCGCCGCCTTCTTGTTAGGATATGGAGCAGGAAGTCTATCCGTGAGAATACCCGGTCGTTGAATTGCCGCTCCCTTATCATCGACATCGTTTATAAGGGCTTCAGCAGCTTCAGCCTTTGCTTCCTCCTATAAGAACTAAATAAATAAAACGTACAAATGGTTGCACAGAGAAATTTGGATCTATAAAGTGAATGAACAGCAATCTCAATGTATTTGCATAACTTGCCTCAGTCATTATAGTGTCAACGAAGTGTCGGTAATGAATAAACTTCATCGAATGGCATGCCGCGCACACTTGTTTGTAGACTTCATATCCGCGTCGTACTCTGGAAAGATGGAATCAAGTCAAAAATGGAATCAAACGTTTTTGAAGTTGAGAGTAGCTATAGTGTTCCGTATGGTAACACTGGACAGTGCTGGGACTACTAAGCTGTGAAGTTTAGAGCAGAGGTTGGCAAAAAATTGAACGCGTCACACGCTTCTGCAAGAGAAACCA